AACAAAAAATCTAGCTCTTTTAATGAGTACGAGATCTCTCATCTTATTAGTTTCGTGATTGATTATTGAAAGTAAAATTAATTTCGCTCTGAAAACAATTCACGCTCATCGTTTCATAATTTTTTAAAATAAAATGATTAATATCTATATAAATAAATATCTTAAGTTTGAAGGAAACGCAAATATTTTAGCGCAACAGTCTTACATCTAGCTATATCTTGTGCATTTTTTTGGTGCCTTAAATTTGCCCGAGAAAAAACTCTGACCTTAACACTTGTTATTACCGCATGCTGATGAATTTTGGTCACACAGAACGTTTCGCGTTCTATTTTTATACTCAAAACGTTAAATTGTTTCGTTTCTCGTCCTGTTTTTTGCTGCCGTCCAATCTTTCGCGAGCGTACTCGAAATCTTTCAATACTATCATTTTGATAACATTGACAGATTTCAAGTTTTACACGGTTATACGGTTTTCCAATTAGTTATTTTCCCCTCGACATTTAAAAGGATCGCAGAAGCGGTTTTGTAATTTACGATACATCGACAAATTAAACTGTTCGCCCCTGTATTTCGATTCGATAGAGAATCACACGGACGAGGGGAGCAATCGGCGTTCCGGTCAGTCTTGCGGTTCCAGTTGAATCTATTGAAATTACCGTCTAGCGGATCGGCAAGTGTGATGGTGCGGCTAACGTGAGAGCCTCCAATCAGCAGGTAATTGCTTCATTCCGTTGGCAAGGCCTGCCTAATATTGTGGCTCCTCTGAGCTAAGCTCCAACGCCGAGACGTTGATCCGATTTGATCTTGGGGCAGAGATATCGGCAACTTTTACTTTAAGGCTCTCGATCGATTCTACAGTTAATGAGAAGAGCGTCGATAAAGAGAGAGATAGAGAGAGATGCTCACGAGACACGTGCGGATATAAAGAGCATCAATCGTTTACGCTTTCCTAAGGGCGACAATCTCGAAATTCGAATAGACAACGGCGCGCACGGGGCGGATAAAACATCAAACGCGGCCGCCGCCCACGCGCACGTCGGCTCACGAAATCATAATGGAAGAAAAAGCGCGCGCGGTTTAATATCGACATTTTTAAAGGGACAACCTTAATGGGGGCGACACGTAGGACAGACATAACGAGCAAGGGGAAGCGGCGGCAACGGCGGCGGCTTCAAACGTTCTCCGCATGATACCCCCGGCTCTCGGGGGGACGGCTTTTCCTTTCCGCGTGCAGTTCAGAACGTTGGATCGGAATTAATGAACCGTAATCCCCCAATAATGAGGCTTCGGCTTCACTGGCTCCGATACGACCTCGTCGATCCTCCCCGTGTACGACCCCGACCCGCGCCCCCCTCGCCTCTAGCTGATCGTTCCAGCCTCATCTCCTCCGTGCCGTACACGTGCGCGCCGGGCGTACATATGTGCTCGCGTAAATGTCACATACACCTTATGGGCACCTACGTTACACCTGCGTGGCGCCGCGCAAGGCCTCTCGAAGCCCGAGACTGTCGACGCGAGACAAATTATCTTTTCCGACGTGCACGCGTCGATGCCGTTCACCGGGGCGGCGTGTAACCGACGCGCGGCTCGACGATTTTTCTCACACGAAAGAGCGTGACGCATCATGCGTGGATAGGCTACGCGCCGCTGTGGCGTCTACCTGAAAATTCGACGTTTCGAATTTTTTGTCTTATTTTTTCTTTTTTTTGCGTTAGCGCTGACCTTGAACTCATTAATATTTAGAGCGTGCGACATGCTCTCGGCGAAGTCAAAGTATCGCGATCAGCTCGGAAGTTTTTCACACACACACACACACACAAAGAATTTTCGTGTAATAGCTGTAATTAACTTTTAACGAAAGTGTTTCGACATGCTGCTCGGGAAACAGGGGGAAATATACGGATTTCTGACTTGACAATCGTTGCTGTTTTTAACGAGTCAGTTTAAGTGGGTTCGTTTTTGCAAAGAATGCGGACTCCAGTTTAGCGCTCTCTCGGTTCTTTTAGATATGGCAAAATTGCAACTACGAAAAGAACGATAGGATTTATATGTGTGCAAGGAAGAAGTAAAACTTTTTTGATACGTTATACATCTTTTGATTGCTTTGCTCAAGGCTACAAAAAATACTTAAAAGAATCTAAAAGAATACTTCAAAACTCAGACATTTTCGAGTAAAATATAAACGAAGTTTTTTATTAAATATCTAAATAATTTGAAAAATTGGCAGATTTTACACAAATTCAATATTGCAATATTAAAAACAAACAGCATTTAAAGATAACGTTATCGTAACGTGTTTCACAGTTTCGCTTCTTCGCCGAGCTTTAGAGTAACGCGGACGCGTATATAGCTGAGAGGCTAAAAAGGAAGGAGTTTCGCAAAACTCTCGATATTAGTTGTTGTTACAGTAACACGGAAAGTTACATCCACTCCCGGAAACTTTCATGGCTTTGTATACTGCAGGCTCGTCGCTGATTTTCTCGCGACGCTCGCGGTTATACGCGCGTTTGACCCCGTTCGAGCCCCCGACCGCAAACGAAACTTTTAATAATCGAGGTGGCCCCGTGTATAGTGCGAGCCCTTCAGCACTCGCAAATACCAAATACACAGGGCGGCCGTGTCTGCCGCACGCGTTGCCGAAGGTGAAACCGCGGATTAAAAAGTCAAAGGGAAACGGCTGACGCGGTTTCAACTGCGATCTTGCGTATATGGGAGGTTACGCAGTAACCTTCCAAGTCTTCGACCTTGTACTCTGCACATATTATCGAAGCCCCCGCCCCTCTCTCTCTTTCTCTCTCTCTCTCTCGTTATAACGCTGTATCCGAGGTTTCAAGGTACGCATATTTCGAAACACGAGGTACGAGCGCTTCGCTCTTCGTCTTCATTTCGCTCGCCCTCGCTCGCGCGGCATATTCCGAAAATTAACGGAAGTTACGTTCGTTTCTATGAGAACGAGGCTACGGTTCGCTCGCATTACACATTTAGACGGGAGTTTCTGTGTAGATACGATAGAGAAAGATAGGAGGAGCTTTTCTCTAAAAGCTCTGCTCGCTCTGAGTGTGATTCTGTTTGCCACGCCAACACCCATTCGGGGGTCGAAAGCGACGTGTAGGAGAGAAAAAAAAAACAAAAATAATGAAAGCAAAATTCGGCGCGGCGACACGAGCGAGTGTTCCTGACAGCGTCGATTGGCGTCGCGCAAAATCGCCCCCTCTTTCATTTCAGAGGCGAGCATTTAACGCACATAGGTACACGTATACGCCCGACGCGTACAGCACATGCATTACAGCGAGAATATGTCAGGGCGGTACCGCCCCGGGCTGTTGCGTATAGGTACGCACACGCTGAAAACGTTTCGTTCAGGATTGTCTTTGAAATCATCGAAGCGACGTCTCGATCGATCTAATAGGATACACGGGGACACGATGTATCACAAGGTGACGTTCTGTGGAAATCTGTCAGGCGGATATATCGCGTTACCGGTCCGACTCCGGACTGTGTCCTCGTCGTTAAATTACAAGCAATTGCACCAGCCAGCGTATGCGCTTCGCTGATGAATAACGGCCTCGAGCCTTTTGTCGAGAACTGCCGCAGGGTGAAGACAGTCGACCGATTATCGATATACGCTCCAGTTGTTATCAATGTAATAACAGTCGCGCCGCAGATCGAATTTTTTCCTTACGGTTTGTTGATTTCATTGTCTATGCTATTTTTATTCAAGATATAGAATCAGATTTGTCTAAACTAATTGATATAATTTTCAGAGTCTTACATCCAACTTTTTATCCGTCTCTTCAATTAATCAATTAATTTAATTATTTTTTAGATTGCTCTAATTTAATATGTATAATATTTTTAAATATTTCAAATAATTTATCAAAATGTTTTCTATGTATATATCATTATATCTATTTTTTATTTAAAAAATTGAAAATTTAAATCGATCGATTTTAAATTTTGGTAGCGTGTTGTTGAACAATTAAATTTAATCAGAATTATACTAACATATTACAGATTTAATAATAGTTAATTAGTCCTTTAATATTTCAATGAATTTCTCTTTTTTAACGGCGGTTCTCTGCAATCGACGATAATCATCAAATTACAGGATTATATAGGATCGCGAACAATGTAAAGGCGATAGAATTGAATATAAATCTTCGCCCCGATCTTAATTGTACATAGTCTAATAATTGTCTGAGACACAAACTCCCTTAGGCGCGTCAATGCATGTCAGCGTGAGCGGCGGTCGATAGGCAATAACGCCGACAAGGACGATCGGGACGGGGTGGAGAGGAGGGGGAGGGAAGGGAGGTCCGGCAAGCGGCTTTGCAAAGTTTCGCCAATCAGCAGGTGGAATCCCGGACGGAACTCACTGACAATTCAATTACAACTGGGAATTCCTGGTCCGACCCTAAGCCGAGAAAGTTCGGCGGTTTGACGGAGACCGAGAGGGAATGGGTCTTCTCTCTCCGAAGGGCCGCGCGCGCGCGCGGGGAGGGGGAGAAGGAGGCGAGAGCCGCGCTTCTCCAAGTGTTATGCAGATTTCTGTTTGGCCAGTCATTACTGGGGTGTTTGCAGGCACGACAGCCATTGCTACGGCTACCCGGTCCGATCTCCCAACCACCAGTTACCTTCCCCTCTTGCCCCTTGTCCTTCCAACACTCACCCCTTCGTCGTCCCCTCTGCCGTTAACGGAAGACGGCCATCTACTGTCCGCGCGCTATGGCGCGCATCCCTATCCTCGATATTCATATCAGAAACCCCCCCCCCCCCTGCAGTCCGGTGTAGCGCTTCTATGAATATTTACCCTCCTTTCTGTTAATATCGCGTACGTGACATTTTCCGAGCGTAAATACGCGCCGGCGGCGGCGTCCGTGAACACGATGACTGGCGGTCATCGGCTGAAGAGGCGGATCGAAAGATAAAAAAAATAAACGCGCGCACGAAGAGATCGACCAATGTTCGTTGTTGCAATATTATATATGACGGATACTCACCGGCATAGTTTGGCTACCGTGTAGAGAGTTTATTGCTGCCAGTGCTTCTTGATGCGACGAAAGTTTCACGAAGGCACAGCCTGAAACAAACAGAGGAGTAATTTTTATTAAATCGATAAAAAATATTATATAGTATAAATACAATTTGTATTATGATACCATTAATATTGTAAATGTAATTTTTTTTCTCTATTATATTATACATATGAACGTATATTACATGTCACATAAATATTCTGTACCAGTTTTTGTTTAAATATCCGCAAGATATCAATTTCACACTTAATAAACGTAAACTCTATTATTGTAGAAATGCGTCTGTCTAAAAATCATATGATTTTTCGCCAAGGTAGAAGCAATGGCGAAACAAAGGGTTAAATAGAACTCGTAACGTTCCCTATTCATCTCGCCAGAAAGGAGCGTCGCGAGCAGCGGCAGCTCCGGCTCGTCCTTTTTCCATCGCGGAAAATTCCGCGGCGTTACTCGAAACTCGGAAGGAGGAGTGAAAATAGTTTTATCCGTTTTTATCTTCGCGAGTGATCCGCGCGACGAAAGGGGTTCCGTTTCCGCCATTGTCGAGGAGGAGCGGAGGCCGTCCGCGACGAGAGATGATGGAACGATTAATCGCTCTCGCTCTCCTCTACCACCTGCCACGTGCGCTCATCGCCGGTAGTTAGATGGAGACGCGGCGAAGACAAAGAGCTCGGGGGCTCTTTGAAAAATTGACGCGCCAGCGGAGCGCAACGTGCACTTTAATAAAAGATGTTTACCGCGCGCGGACAACGGCGCTTCGTAATCCGAGACGACGGTGATCGCGGTTTCGTGCAATAACTATTTGTATCGTCGCGGCGAAGAGGGACGAGGAGGGAGGGGGGAAGGAGGGAGGGGAAACGATGCCTCGACAATTGTTGTCGTCCTTTCCGCGCGCGTCGTATAAACGGGATAATCCACTGGATCGTCGCGTTCGATCTGTCGAAACGGACTTGTTCGGAAAATAAACCTCTCGATGTTACCATCGTCGTCGTCGGCGAGAAACTTGGAGGAGTTTCTCGCCTGTGCATTGAGGTCGCGTCATATGGCGATACCCCCAAACGATATTTTATATGCCAATAGCAGGTGATATCATATATCGGTTTATTTTCTTCTTGTTTTTTTTTTCTTTTACAGGGAACGTTGAGTTTTGTAGCTAGCACATTTGATTCGATCGATATCTCGAGTTTTTCGTCAAATCGCGAAATACTAACCGACGAAATTAAATTATTAGCATTAACAATTATAATTTAATTACGTTAAAGTTTTAACTTTCCAACAAACTTTCAACTTATAAATTAAACTATAATTATTATTATCATTTTTTTTTGTATTAAAGAATAATTACAAAGGAAAGAAACATATGTGGATATATATATATTTTTTTTTGCATATAATTATATATATTTATATATATTTATATATATTTATATATGTTCTTGTATGAAAAATTTTCTCTCAGCGTGTTCAAGCTGGACGAAGAGGCTAAGCTGGACGAGGAAGCTAGCTTGCTTAACGAGCGATTAAACATGATTGCAGGTTCTTACTTGAAGATTCACTCAATCACGTCAATCGTTCGACGAGCAAGCTAGCTGATCGTCCGGCTTGAACACGGCCAATGTCCGAGCCTCCTGTTTTGTATCTTGTCTATCTTTGTCGGAAGTCGCGCTTGCCTCGAAGTAGATGATTTGAAACGAGTTTTGAGTTTTGAAACGTGGTTTCCGAAAATGGAACATTTTCTTCAGTCCCTGACAATCATTACGGTGACAAGATTACGGGCGCGCGATACGCTTCGCGACTTCTAGTGAAACTTCAATATTTGTTGACTATGATTACATCCTGTATCAGCAAATTCTATTTCGACGTCGAGTCTCTCTCTCTCTCTCTCTCTCTCTCTCTCTCTCTCTCTCCCTCCCTCCTCTCGTACCCCCTGCTGCGAGTTTGAGCTCAAATATTGAATACAGTGTATATTTAATGAATATATGCATTAAAATTGTAGCTTGTACAAGGCGCGAATGGTTTACACGATAGTATAAATAGTTCGAGCAAAGGTTATAATCTGTATTGATCTATATATCGACATATACGCGCTCGTAATTGGTCCGAGAAAGCAGCTGGTTTGAAAAACCTTTTCTCAAGTCTTTCGTTTCTGCCTTTATCATTGTTTATTTTTTCTACAAGGGATAATTACAAAAAAATTGCCACGTCAATTCTTCAAGTTCGATGAGATCTACAGGCGTTTTCACTTGTCGCGTATGTAATTAAAATTTCATCGGCTAAGGTGAGAGTTCTCTTTCTGAATGTATGCGGTAAAAAATGCAACTGTTTTCATTGTATAATCGAAGAAATCTCATCTCGCAAAACCGAAACCAGAACGATTAATTTTCCCGTCTCGCAGGATTTGATGTTTCTTCTCTATTTGCATGCGAAAATAAATTCTGCGTGCTTCCGGCTACTCGATTTGCGTTCTTCGATTCGAGTCAACAGCGATCTTTAATCGCGCATCACGAATACGCGCCGCACGGCGCGGCAGCGGGCCAACGTCGATGGAATACTAATGTTTGCTCGAAAAAGCGAAGAATAAACCGTAGGGCGAATTTATCAGTGTGCTTCGAAAATAGAGGCCCGGGCTCCGATAAAATAACCGCTACGCAAATATACTGCGGCCGACGCGTACATGTAGATATATGTGTAGGTATACACGCGCCGATGTCGCCAATCCGAAAATGATGAAATTGATACGCGACAAGACGCGGCGCGCGCCCGCCACATCGTCAGTGAAATTGATACCCGGGTATTTTTCTCGCAACTTTATCTCCGTGCCGGAGGGGATATTAAAGCGTCCTCGCGTGGTGGGCCTTTCGCGTAAAGCCGGGAGGCCATTCCTATTACAAGTTTTTTTCGTTTTTAACGCCGAGCGGCAACGGGACACGGCGCGCCCGTGAAAATCGTGATGATTGCGCCGTGATTCTATTAGGCACGCGTTTCGCCGACTCAACGTTCGGAAATTGTGTTTTTAATTCTCTCCCCTCCCCCCCCTCAATAAATCGATCGTGGCTAAACAAGTATTAACATTCCCGCGCGGCTGGTAGCAGAGACCGCGCGACGATCGGCCGCGGTTTTGCGGCGACCGCGGTCAGCGGTGCAGTGCAAAAGGAAAAAGGGAAGAGAGACCGCGAAAATACAAAAAAAGGAGAGTTACAGCGATTGGTGGATGAACGGGTCAAAGTCGAAACCTCTAATGCGATTAACGGACGTTAAATCGGAACGTTCCTTTCGGAAATACTCGTGTGTGTGTGTGTGTGTGTGTGTGTTGTCTATTCGTAGGAAAAACGTTTTTTTCCCGAACTTCTCCACCTTTTATCGCTTTCTATCAGAAGCATGCGAGCGTGGCACACACTCAAAAAGCACCGAGGGTCGCAAACCTTCGGGGCAGCGATTTCAGAGCCGCCTCTCGATCCGAGGGTCGCTCGGCCCTCGACGCATGTAGTTTTATAATTATTGCGAGCCTCAGGGGGATCATACGGGATCAGGCTTTATCGTATATGAAATGCATGCGAGCGCATGTGCGCCGCGCTGGCCACGCGTCACACGTGGCGCGTCGATTGCGCATGCAGCGAGATATACGCTATCTCTTCCGACCCCTCATCCCCCGTGACACGTAAGGGGATGAGTACACGCGAGTGCTAATTCGAAATGATCCGCACGGACGGACGGACTTGCAATTTTCGGAACGGACGCATCGTTCCTTTTTCCATTCCTTCTTCGCGTGCATGCAAATGTACTCCGAATTCATCCGCGATGATCAAACTCGGACCTGCGACCGACCCGGCCCTTCGGTCTCGTCGACGCGCGACCATAGTAAACACAATGTAAAGTTCAGCTAAAAGTTAAAATCGCTTCAAGGCTCTGAGACTTGTACATTGCCGGTCGATACTCGCGGCACGTACGAGCAGCCGCGCGCGAGTGTGTATATTATCATCAAATATACAATGTACGCGTGTTTTCTCATGGAACAGCAAACACGCGTACACGTGCGTCGTAGGGTCTTGGCGGAGAAAACGAAAATTCGATGATTTGATAGGCGGCACTGCCGCCCACCGCAAATGTACTCGGTAGACAGATTAACGCGCTTTACGGAACGCGCATCGCGTGCGTGTGCACACGTACACGCGTACACGTCTACACGAGTTTGGCGACTACCAACAGCGCGTGTTACCTGTGTGCTACCCGTATCAACCCCCTTACCCGGTACCCCATTCGGCCACGCGCCTCTCTCGTCTCTCTCCCCCCGCCTGTCACTATCGCCTGCGCCGCCGCCACCCTCGCGTCGCCTCTTCCGCGCGCAGTAATCCAATCATCCACGTCCTACGATTTGTACGTAGTAATTCCGTCTGTTTGATCATCCGGACGGCTCGGCTTTTCCCTACGCGCGCGTATCGCGCGCCGCGCCGCGCCGTTTGTTTCAATACGGCTCTGCCTTGCTGTACGCGAGCACACAGGTAACTGCAAGTGCGATACGAGCGAGATTTGTATCGGTTATCGCTGATTGGTGAAACCGTTGACGGAGTGATTCCAAACGTACGTATGGCCACCGACCGTGGAGAAGTATGAAAAATTGTAACGTACAAAAAAATGCCTGTAATAACTTTCCCCGGACGCGACGATAAAAACTGTTAGGGACAAATCGTAATGGTCTTACAGAGAAATGTCACTTTTTATCTGCGATATTACGTTGGCAGGTAATACGGTAAATTAACAGTATTCTAATAATATGTATCGAAATATATTTAAAAAAAGAAAGAAGGGATTTTATACAAAGATGAATTAAATTTTTAATAAAATTGTTGATTAATTTTTTCGCATGCGACATAATTGATTTAATTACGTAAAAGCGTACATTCTCATCTCCCGTACTAAGGATGACTTTTATAATATAACATTTGTTCCGTGCAAATAAAATACTTTCTGTATAATTAATAATTAAACTTATTAAACGATACAGAAAGTATTTTATCGGCCTGATCGACACGCGAACTAGAAACCCCTT